AACCTAGTGTTTCTGTGATTCTGTGATCTTTTCAGGCTGAAGCAGCTTAAAATGGGGTTTGTGTTGGGGGAGTTTGGTAGAAGACAATGTATTCATATTTGGAAACTCTGCTCAGCTAATCTGGGCTTCAGTTTCTGGTGACAGAGTATGTTCAGGATGCAGAGACACAAAAGACTTGGATTCAGTTTCTGTTTGTGCCATGTTTTTCTGTTTTTTTTTTTAATTGCCAAGGGCAAGGCAGCTAGAGTACCTTGCTGAGATGTCACTGCCCCTCAGCTGTCTGCTTGCATCACTCCATCTGGAGTTAGTGGAATGGGACAGACACTGAAACCTGCAGAGATTTACGTTCATATTCCCTGTTCAGCCATCTCTGCTAGAGCTGTAACATTTAGGAAAGGGGTGCAGCTGACAGCTGGGAGTGATACCCACATCAAGCCTAGTAACAGCTGTTTCTTGTGGATGGCCAGAGCTCAGGCTTCCTCCCTGTAAGAAGATGGGATGGAATCTGGGGATGTACAGTATGTGTTACTGTGACAACAGCCAAGTGGAGACCACAGTCTCTGTTACAGAAGGTTTGGAAAGCCTTGTTTACCCAGTTCCACTGACTGGCTGAGATGTGCTTAAGTTGAATGCATCTGAGGCAATCCATTAAGCTGCATCCTTGTGCATAGTGTCTCTGATAGGATTTGGAAGGTCGTAGTGTAGGGGAAACAGGGAATATCTCCACTTAAACTGGACTAACTTTTGAACAGTGAGCAGAGCTGCTTTTTGGGGAATTGGGGTCCATTTCAAACACTCTCCCTGCTGTCTGTGTCTCTGCATGGTGGCTGCCCACCTCTAAATCTCTAAACCTCTAATTGAGGGTGCACCTTGAATACTGTGTTCAGTTTTGGGCCCCTCACTACAAGAAGGATGTTGAGGTGCTGGAGCGTGTCCAAAAAAGGGCAACAAAGCTGGTGAGGTGTCTGGAGAACAAGTCTTATGAGGAGTGGCTGAGGGAATGGGGATCGTTTAGCCTGCAGAAAAGGAGGCTGAGGGGAGACCTTATCGCTCTCTTACAACTACCTGAAAGGGGGTTGTGGTGAGGTGGGTGTTGGTCTCTTCTCCCAAGTAACTAGTGATAGGACGAGAGGGAATGGCCTCAAGTTGCGCCAGGGGAGGTTTAGACTAGATATTAGGAAAAATTTCTTTGCTTGAGAGAGTGGTCAAACATTGGAACAGGCTTTCCAGGGAGATGATGGTGTCACCATCACTGGAAGTGTTCAAAAAACGTGTGGACATGGCACTTTGGGACATGGTTTAGTGGGCATGGTGGTGTTGGGTTGATGGTTGGACTTGATGATCTTGAAGGTCTTTTCCTGCCTTAATGAATCTGTGATTCTGTGAAATCATCACACCTTTCTGCCTTCCTGCCTAGGTACTGCCATAGTAACTGAACAGCATGCAGCCATGTGGACAGATGGACGCTACTTCCTCCAAGCTGCACATCAAATGGATAATAACTGGACACTCATGAAAATGGGTATGCAGCAGGCTGGGATACTGCTCCTGATGAACAGAGAACAATCACAGGCTATTTGGTCACCTCGCACATGTTAGAGCTTGGGCTATAGGGGTACCCCATCATGCAGGGGCTTACGGACATCTTGGAAACACTGCTGCTCCTGCTTTAGTGTCCTGTGCCCATGGGTCTAAACATATATAATCTGATGCGTTAGCTTGGACTTTTTGGGTAGTACGGGAACACCTCAGTATGACTTCTTCTTTGAACCTCTTTTTTTCTTTTTTTTTTAAATACATGGAGGTCTAAAAGATACACCAACTCAGGAGGATTGGCTAGTGAGTGTCCTTCCAGAAGGCTCGAAGGTGGGAGTGGACCCTTTCATAATTCCGGCTGGTTGGTTTTACTTTATTTTATAACTTTGGGTTGGGCCACTAGATTTTGCTTCCTTGCTTCTCTGTCTAAGCTGTTGTGTGATGATATGTAGCTAACCATCTTTCAGCCCAGATGGGGTGGTAGGTTAAACTGTTATGCAAAACAGGATGGGTTTTGGTTTTAGGCATGTATCATGAGAGCTCCACAGCAGTGCATTGACTCCAAAACACAAGGAATGAGAACTTCTGTCTGGGCTTGCAGTGACCTTACTTGAAAAACAGAGTCCCAATCCACCTCCTTTTGTCTGTGCTGTGACTTGTCACGGGTACTTCTGTACAAAGTTGCTGAATGTCTTGGCTAGCATGTGAGCCAGAACACCCAGGCAGAACTCACACTGCTACTCCTGCTTGGTGGTCTCCTCATCTCTGCAGCTCTCCCTGTAGGAAGCACATTCCTGGAGAGGTACCATTTATATCAGATGAACGCATAGCTGTCTACTCATGCTTCAGAACATGGGACCCAATCCAAAGGTCACTGGAGGCAAGAGGAGGCATTTCGTTGATTTACATGGGCTAAGGATCAGTCTTGTGGCTGTGTGGAAGCCCATCTCATCTCTCATCTAGCTTAGATCTAGCATGGTTCTGTACTGGGGTAGAGGGCATCCTTACAGCAGCCTCTGGGGTGGCTTCTTCCAGTGACTTCTGTCTGCCAGCTGGAACAGTTCTTCTTCAGCTGAAGCATGAGGCCCCAGGGCTGTCAGGTTCTGTACCTGCTGCTGACTGTAGCGGCTGCATTTATGGAACTGTAGTTGCAATAGCTTTTGCTTTGTTTTTTTTACAGGAATGGGAAGAAGGAGAGGCTGTAAGGAAAGGAGGAGACTCAGATTCTTGAGTTTGCCCCCTGCAAACAGGGCCATTGTTCAGTCAGTGTGTGTTCTGTAAAGCCATCGCTCTTGACTCTTTTCCTTTTGGCAGACCAGTGGAAGAGGATGTCCAAAGCCTTGAGAAGTGCTGGCCACGACCTTGTGCCTGTCAAAGAAAACCTGATCGATACGATATGGACAGACTGTCCTCAGCGCCCCTGCAAGCCTCTCATCACGCTTGACCTGAGTTACACAGGTGAGAAGCTTAACTTCCAATAGACAGGGATTGTTTCTACTGCCCTATCCCCCTTTGCTTTTCTCTTACACTGCTACTGCAGTGCAATGTGATCCACTGTGAATAGGTCAAGAAGGTGATAGGACCTCAGCTAATGACTCCTTTGTTCTCAAACTTCAAATAACCATTTGCTAGAGGCTAGATAACTTCAAAACAAATCCATAGATCTCTGGAGGGCAGCTTGTTTGAGGTATTTCATACCAGTTATTAGAAAGGAGTGAGGAGCACAAGCACAGCGTGTTTTGGGTACCTCCAAAATCCAGTGCATTGGTCTGTGTTTATGTCATTGTCTTCCATAAAGTTGGTGACTGTAGCTTTTCGTACTGTGTTTTGCAGGGGTCAGCTGGAGAGACAAAATTGTAACCCTTCGTTCAAAAATGGCTGAGAGGAAAGTCGTGTGGTTTGTGGTAACAGCCTTGGATGAAGTAGCATGTAAGTCTTTGCATCGCTTTTCTCAGTTCTTCCTACAAAATAAATGTCCTTCCTGCCTTGGAAAGGAAGAACCCTGCTAGGGTACGAGGCACTCATGACAGCCAGCGTATTTGTTAGAGGTCAATTAACTTGTATCAAGTGCAGTGGCGATACCAGGTCACAAACAGCAAGCCTGTACTTCTACACAGTGTCTTATTACATCAGTACAGCTCCTGAGTACATTTTTGGCCCACAAAATGCAGCAAATCACAACCTTTGAAATACAGCCCATGCAAAGGGAAAGGAAAGGTTATATATAAAGCATGAGGCAGTTTGAAGAAGACCCGTGAGATTTTCTGGCTGTAAAATACCCAATGTTGCCTAACCCTATGGGAAGATGAAGACTGTTTTCTGCTCTGGAGGCTGGGCTATAAACAAAGCAATGCAACATGTGGCTTTGTATACATAAGGCAAGGGTGGGGTACATGGCATTCACAGTAATCGTCCTAGCTGTCATGACTTTTTAAGTCAGTCTCTACCTCTCCAGTGCTTGGCAAATGCTTTGGTTAAAACAAGTAGGACAGGGCTTAACTTGTATTTCCAGATAATTTCAACACAGGGTCCCACTAGAGGGTCCATTCCATGTTTGGGGCCCCAGGATAATGAGGTCCCCGGCCTCGCAGCCCAGTGTGTGGGAAGGGAGAATGGCGAGAAACAGCAGTGGTGCCCCCGGGACTGTTGTTACTAGTGCTGTGTATCCTTTGTGCAGAAATCACTAGTGTGCAGACTGGTGCAGTGGGAATATCGTGCTGGCAGGGTGTGGGTGCTGCTAATGCATGTGCCCTGTGTCTGATCTGAAAAGGTAGAAATGAAGGTTGTGTGTTCCTAGCTCCAGCGTTGCCAGCGCAATGTCTCTGGCGCTGGGAGAAATCAGCTTGCTGAGGTCTGCAGGCTCTCCTGGATCTGGGACACAGAGCAAAGAGCTTGTTTCATGAAAGAAGTACATCTGAGAGTGGTCATATGACTCCTCCCTGGGGATGCCTGCGTGAGCAGAGATTGCGTGTCTCACCTTTTCAGGCGCATCTCCAATTAAATTAATGATAAATTGGTGCCCTGAGGTGGTTTGAGATTAAATGTCTCCAGCAAAGCCAAGCTTGGTTATGAACCAAGGGTTTTAAGATGGACCAGAGGAGGTCATGAGAGAAGCTGATTGCCGGGTGCCTGGTTGATTTTCTCCTAAAGGGGGAAGGGGAGAAGTTGTCTTTAATTTTATCTAATGCAACTCACTGTATTAAACTCCAGACAAGTTTCTGGGGACAGAAAGAGCCACAGAGGAGACTGTTGCCTCCTTACTGCATTGGAAATTGGCTGAGTGAGGAAGTTTGTACCCATGCGGTAAAGAGTTCTTTGTGGCTCTTTCCTGCTTTCAAGTGACCTACTCCTTCCCTGGGGAGAATCAAACTCTATTTTTACTTTCGTGGCAGAATTTGCACAGTTCGATGAATACAGTGCTGGGTTGTGATTTAGGGCATGTTGGTTCTTTTCCCAGCTGTCCTGCTGGCTGGCCTTATTGCCTTGAATAACTCATTTCAGCTAATTGGATACCCTGGGGTTTTTATTTGACCCTAAACTCAGGAGTTTGGAGATGCTGAACATCTACTTCCCCTCTTGACTTTGTCTGGAGTTGTGAGGGATAAAATCTTTTGGAAAAAACCTAAGACTATGCAGTCTGAATCTGAGATGTTGGAGGCACCCAAATGAGAGGCCTTTTTGTAATGTTTTAGTCTTGCCTATTCTGTCTGCCTTTTCCCTCAAGCATCAAAAGAAGGATTGGAATGAAATGATAACTTGTAACTTTGAATTCTTCTGGCTGTTAAGAAGTGAGCTTTTATTGCATTGTACAGACCAGAAAGGGCAAACACTACTTTTTTTTACATGTGTCCTTATCCTTTTGGCCTGTACCTGCTTTCTTACAAGCCAGCCCTCCTTCAAAAGTTAAACCCCAATTTCCTTCCCCGATGGGAGTGTTGAAACTGCAGTTCTGGTGCCATCTCCTGGCAAAAATACAGGATTACTGGAAAAGGAGCAGGATGTGGGACAGCTCGGTGGGAGCTGGACTCATGGCCTGCACCCATGAAGACTCATTGCTTGACTGTGTTTTGCTGAGATTATTTTTGGCTTTCTCTAATGTTGCAATAGATGAACCAGGACTGTGATTCTTGGCGTTCTTATTTTCCAGGGCTTTTCAACCTCCGAGGCTCTGACGTTGAGTACAATCCTGTGTTTTTTGCATATGCCGTCATAGGAATGAACACAATCAGGTGCTTGTATTCCTCTCTTCTGTCCTCCATGATGCATTTTTCTGTAGGAGAGCTGTTCTAGCAAAGCATTTGTCTTTTTAAAACACTTACGCTCGGGTGCTTTAATGTTCCTCCTGAGCACTTTTGTCTTCAACGTTAATTACTCTCCTCCCCTGATCAGAGCTAGAGAGGCAGCCAAGATCTCTGCTGCGCTCCTCAGCACCTCAGCTGACTTGTTGGGTGACCTTGGGCAGGATGGCTGGCCCCTCTGTGTGTCACCCCAAGATAACGTGGAGGGCCTTCGGAGCCCTGAATGAAATGTGGGTAAGAGCCAACGCTGGCCTCAACATTGGAAAACTTTCCTCTAATGTCATTGATGAGTCACTTCAAAACTGCAGGGACTGTGTAGAAAAGTTTCAGGGATGGTTTATGACAGAAGGCTTCCTGCCTGCGACTGCCCCATATAATGAGCCGCAGCAAGCACAAGTCTTTTAGAAGCATCTCCAAGCTGCTAGCTAGATGCATCTGAGGTAGAACCTGGCTGGGTGAGTACAGGTTGTATGTGAAGGTTGAGCTGAACTTTCCATTTCAGTGAAAGCAAGAACAATGTGGTACTTAGAACAACAGTAGCTTTTCCATTTCCAGATACTGCCCTTAAAAATAGAGAATGGCCATTATTTGCCTCTGTTACTCTCTCCTGCCTGAAGTGCAGTGATAGAATGCAGGCATTTTGAATGGGTCATACAAACAAAAATGCTATAAGCTCCTTTCCTCTCAGCAGGGTGGTACATCTTAATTTCAAAGCAGGATTTAAGCTGTGTGAAGTCCAGTGGTTAAAACAATATAGAACAAAGTATAGCACATAATTCATAGAATCATAGAGTAGTTTGGGTTAGAAGGGACCTTTAAAGGTCATCTAGTCCAACCCCCATAATTAATGAACTCCTTTCTCTCTGAAATGTCACCAGAATGGTTTCTCCTTCCCTGCTTTACTCCAACCACTGTCAGATCTGGTCCCACCTACTCACTCTGATTTGTTTCTCAGACTCTTCATCGATGGTGACCGGATGATGGACCCAGCTGTGAGGGAGCACTTACAGCTTGACTCCACCCTGGAGCCTGAGTTTAAAATCCAGGTGATGCCCTATGGGTCTATCCTGTCAGAGCTGCAGGCTGTTGGTGCAAGCCTCTCACCCAAGGAGAAAGTGTGGCTCAGTGACAAAGCCAGCTATGCTCTGACTGAGGCCATTCCCAAGGTTAGTGGCCCTTGCAAAGCAAAATACTTTTTTCCTTTCTGCTCAGCGTGGTCAGGAATGGTGTTAATGGGGGCAGCTGGCTTCCGCTTCCCCTTTGCAGAGCATGATGCAGGCTGGAGCTTGTGTGGAAGGGATCCAGCTGTGCTGAGATATCAAAGGGTTGTTAATCCTGGGGTTCCTCTCACTGGAGCTGCCCTTCCAACTTGCTAAGCGGATTTACCCAAAGAATTGTCAGCTTAAGATAAGACAAGTACAGTGAGAGAGGGGAGGGAGAGAGGGAGCAGGGTGAACTTGGGTCACTGTGCCCATGGCTGGAGCATTGGCTTTATGCGGACCAGCAGTAAGAGCTGGAAACTTGCAGAAACTGAAGCAGGAGAGTTGAGCAGGACTTGGGAGGCGGCACTGGGCTTGATCTGAGTGTCTGAAGATGGTTGTCCTTGTTTATTTCAGTGGCTTGAGGATATCGGGCAATATGTGACGTCTTGTGCCGAAGACAGGAGGGACAGGGCGACAGAGTTGTTGCAGCAGGGAACCTTATGAGGACATGGATAACTTGCAGGCAGTGATTGTCCATGCAGTGAGTGCATCTGCTGAGGAACAGTTGTAGCATCAGAATAGTTTCTGTACAGCTGTACTCCCTATGTCTTACCCTTGAACTTGGCTGTCTGTGAGTCCTGCAGTCCACCTAATATTCCAACAGTCATAAAGGAGATACTTGGGTAAGGACACAGCAGGAACTACAGACAGATAAGCCAGTTTCCATGTGTCTTGCGTACATGTCTTGTTTGCTAGAGATCGCATTCTTATGAGTGCCATCCAGTTTACAGAGATACCTAGTACCTAACAGATTCTGTGAGTAAATATGGCTGGGAATCAGGGACCAGATGTTGCCTTGGAAGACCAGGCCTGTTGAACAGAATCTGAGCTTGTGCTGGGTTACTAAACAGTTCAGGCTTCCCACCTGAGAATCACAAGACTCAGATGAAGGGATTGCTAAAGGAAGAACTAAATTGTAAAAGTGTTTGGCAGCAAGTCTACATTCGCCCACCAGCAGGTTTCTGCCTCGACCAGGCAGGCAGATACCTCCTGCAAGTTTCATGTAATGCATGGTTGTGCTGCAGGTGTGCATATGATACAGCCCTACCTGTGGCAACAGAGCTAACTCATGGGGCCTGAAGGCTTTTTCTGTATACAGGAGTTTTAAGAATGGCCTCAGCTTTGTGTCTCCCAAAAGACAAAATCCTAAGAACAGGGGCAGGCTGCCACAGTTTGATACCAGCACAAATCTCTGCTTAAACTCTCCATCTGTCATGGCCAAAATAGCAGGAATCATGCATTATTTTTTTCCAGTGATGACATTCACTTAATAGCTTCATTACACATGGTGCATCAGGACAGACAGTAAAACCAAAGGCCTGGAAAGTTTTGTTGCTTTCAACATATCCCTTTAATGCAGGATGTGGTGCTCTCTGCCTTTGCACTGACTCGAGGGAAATGTGCAGTTTGCCTCGTGCGTGCGTTTTGTTTGTTTGTTTGTTTGTTTTAAAAACCAACAAGACATATACATGAGCAAGATAGACAGTTTTTTGCCCCTGTCCAGGGTTAAATCTTCTGACACCATCAATCCATTTCTAGGTGCAAATGACCTCTTAATATACTGACATTTTGCCCACTCTCTTTTGTTCAGGATAGCAGAAAGCATAGAGTCTATGGAGCATTCAGGGTAAATCATTGTTGATCTTTTGGCTTTAGAGTAGAAAACCCCTTGTATTGTAGTTGGAGTCAATGGACTAACCCCTGTTTGGGTGAGTTGCTGTAGATGGTTTACGCAGAGCACCCATATGGAGACGTATAGCAGGTCTGTCCTAGATTAAGGAATGTAGTGAGTTGTTGATAGATTATTTACCCCTTTAGCACTGGAAGTTTTATCTGATACTGAGTCATTACAGTGCCACATGCCTTCTGTATGCAATGGGAGAGTCCCTCCCTCAAGGACCTCTGTGCGTTAGAAAGCAGGAGAGGAAGGACTGAAATGTCTTGATTAAAAACCACTTCTAGAGTCACTGAAGGAGCCAAAGGTTTCCCAATTCCTTATGCTGGGCGTTTTTCTCCAGCTCTACATCACTTTACACCAGCTGAGCAACTGGCCTGGGGTGCTTTGAAGAACCCCAGTGCGGGAAATGCATGTAATGACTGTCTCCATCAAAGCCAAATATTGACATTGGCAAAAATCCAGTCCATTACTAAACACAGATCTGCAAACCCTTTACAGTTTGCCTTCAGCTGCATGTAAATATGTTTTTCACAGAAGATTAATAGAAGCTACCAGTATCAGTAAAAGGCAAGCTGATCTAAGAACGTGACCATTGAGAAGTTTTGTCTTGACTCTGATAAAAGGTCTTGCCTGACTTTCTTGTGGCTTCTTCAGTACTTTAGTCTTGCTATTTTTAAGACTTTGGAAACTGTTAGCCGGTAGCATTTGTGTGAAATTGGTCTTTGCTGAGGATTTTCCAGGCCTTTCCCATGAATTTGAGTGGTGTTTATTTGTATGCTGGTGCATTGAGAATAGGAAAATAGCATGTTGCTTGAGCTGTGATTGTGTGGGTGCTCATCCCACCTCCTGATATATAATGGGTAGAGCAGAGAACTGTGGGGCAAAAGACTTTGGTTTTGTTCCTTCTTCTGATGCCAAGTGTGATGAGACTTGAGCAAGTCACCTCAGTTGGTGAATTTCTGAAGACATGCTCAGAACCAGCCGAGCGTTCCTGCTAATCTCAGGACAGCTGATTGGGAAAGTGCACAGTGGTAAGGGATCAGTTACGAGTTCTTAATGCAGGGCCACCCTGACCAGGCACAGGAAAACTTTCTCTCAAACTGCTAATATAAACTCCGTTCAGAAGCAGAGAGCAGCTAAAGCTCAGGTTTGCAAAGGCCTTTCATGTTTTCACAGGCCTTCAGTGTATAGCAGTAACAGGAAACCCATAGCTCAGACATTGGTATATATGGTATTTAGGATATCCAAATCTTCACCCTGCTTCATGACAAGCTGTTGACACTTTAGGTCGTTGGATTTCCCTGTGGCTGTTCTTCCTTCAGTCAGGGACTGTTTCTCCTCTTTTTTCCCCAAGTGCATTTAGGTGACTACTGGCAACCAGTATCTCACAGCATTGAAGGTTGAGAGAGACTGCCGAAGTATGAATTGTGGCCAGGCTGAGTTATTAAACCTGTAGGATTATGTAGTCTGACTAATCCCCAAGTAATCCTTGTCCTTCTGCTGCAGGCTTACCGATACCTCACCCCATATACCCCCATCTGCATTGCAAAAGCTGTGAAGAACACATCGGAAACAGAAGGCATGAGGAGAGCACATGTAAGTGAAGCCTTGAGAGCCTCCTTGCACATGGCAGGAGGTTTGTTTTATGTTTAGGGAAAGAAATTACATTTTCCTTTCAGTTTTAGTGTTTTGGATTAAAAAGCAAATAATTTGGATGGCAGGATAAAAATCATTTTCTGTCAGACCTTTACTGCTGTTGAAGCAGTTTTTTTGCTTGTTTATCATTCCCTTGGGGTGAAGAACGACATTTGTAGTAGTGTGAGGAACCAGCTTTGCTCTATTGGAAGACCGTGCAGACTTGAGAAGTGTTGTTTAGAGTATGGGCCCTCAAAGGGATATTCTCTCCCCTTTGCTAGTTCTGTTGTTTTTCTCAGTGGAGTCTTCAAATTGTTATCACTTGAATAAACACAGCCTAAAGAACACCGAGAAATTCTTTGACACATGGTGCAAAACATCGGCCAAGATGTTCAGAAGCAGCCAGTGTCCTCAAAGCACTCTGTTTTTATGTCATCATCATGACTCTGGAAATGAGGCTGATTTCCCAGGAAGCTTCATATTTTCAATCAAAGCAGCTGCCTGTGAAACAGGTTCGTGGTGGGGCTGAAGTTTTCTTTATTTCCTGTTAATTTTCAAGCAGCAGTTTTCACAACAGGAGAAATATGCCAGTTGAAGCCGGGCTGGCAATTCTGGACTTGTCCCATATTTTCTGCTAGCTTCTTGGGAACTGCTACTTTCTATTTCAAGGCTTTTCTTTCCCTGTTAGTTAAGGGGAAGTAAAAATACTTGTACTGAGCAGAGACACTTTTTTACCTGCCACCTGAGGGCAAAATTGTGTCTTGTTCCTGTATACTTATGTCCTGCTTCTTGCCCCTGCACGATGCCAGCATGTAGAAAAAGGGAAGAAAAAGGGGCACCACCAGGCAAGAGAGGAGCAGGAAGCTGTGTGACAGAGTCCGTGTGGTGCCTGTGTGCCTGAAGGGCATGTTCCCCTGTTGCATCGCCAGATGTGTTGTGTGGTTACCTTCCACAATCTGAAATGCAAGATCTTGTGTGTTGAAGCAAAAGAGACCTGAAAGCCATGTGTGGGGTAAAGCCAGTCTTTGCTGAGTTCTTGGTAATTCTTCACAGTAAGATAATTCCCAGCACTAAACCTTTATTAATGGTTATTTAATTGTCCAGATACATTTCCAGTGCTGGTATTAATTACAGGATGCAGAACCTGGAAAGACCTCTTCAATCATGTCTTAGTTTGTGAAAAAACTAAGTTTCTGAAACTTGCAGGTCAAATTGTTTTGCATCAAAAACAGTTTATACTGAGGCTTGGTATATCTTTTTTCTTCTCAATTCCCCTTTTCTTGTGCTTTTTTTAACATAGATTAAAGATGCTGTTGCCCTGTGTGAGCTCTTTAACTGGCTGGAGAAAGAGGTAGTGTATTATTTTTTTTTAACTTGGAGATTTTTATTGATATGTGAAATTCTTCATTAGCATAAACTTTTTGATAGTCTTCATAGTGCCTTTGCTAAAAGTGGGAAAGCAGTTGGGGTTTTATCTGTTTTTTGGGGCGGATTTCAATCATACTTCCATCCATGGGTGAATGAATTTCTTTGAAAACGTAGTCTCATTCATTTTACACAGACCAAAGCCAGAGCAGGTGAGAAATAACCTGGACAGGCTTAATACAGTATTAATACTGTCTTGTGCTGGTTTGGTAGTGTAAATCATGAAATCCATTTTTGTGCAATACTTTGGAATTATTCTCATGATAATCAGTGTTGTCTGGCAGTATGGACAGATTTGGCATTTATGAAGGCAGAGGTACGGTCATGCCCATGTGCAGTGAAAATGGGATGAAGACAAATTACTCATGTTTTTTCCAGGTTAGAAGTACACAGCGAAGGTGCAGAGTGCCAGGTGTTACACAGCAGCTTACTAAGCTGTGCTCCTTCTATGCTACTGCATGTCTGAGTCCATTGACTTTACCTATGGAGGTGGCTTGATGACTTTCAGAAGGTGCCTTTTTACATGTCTGAGTACCTCAAGAAGTCTGCCTCAGGGGTTACGAAACCTAGCTCTTGCTCCCCTTTGTCTGTTGTCACAGGTTTTAATTTATCAGATGCCTAAAGTAAAATTTCATGTCCTTTATTTTTCCTGCAACTGCTTCCATTTCTAATTTAAAAGCACAAAAATTTTGCTAATACCAATGGGCTGTTGGAGAGAACTGTTTAAGCTTAGTGTAACCTGTCTGGCAAGAGATGTTGCCTTGTGAGATGTTACCTCTGCACACATCAGTGAAATTAATACCGCACAAACTGCTCCCTAGTCAGGGTTCAGCAATCCTGCTGTGACCGTCTCTTCCTGCTTCTCAGATGCCCACATGTCCTGCACAATATTGCTAAGTTTGTGTTTTTCATTACTGAGGTATTCCTCAGTATGAGGAAACGTGGAAAGAGGTCACTTCAAGACTGAGTTTCATAATGCACAGATGAGGCCCAGTGCTTAAGCATATAGCATTTTCTTTGCTTGTTGGTGTACTAACTCAATGTACGTCTTTGTCCACTAGGTTCCAAAGGGGACAGTAACAGAAATAATTGCTGCAGACAAAGCAGAGGAGTTTCGCAGGTAAAAAGTAAATCCCCTGTGAGGATGTTTTCTGAGTGGCGTTTTTATCCTTTGTTTTTATTTTATTCTTTAGAAATCCAGCTCACTCGCAGATATATTTTACCTGAGGACAAACCAGGATTTCTTTGAACACTTGAAAGAATTGGGGAAGAATTGGGTCTCTTGGGAGATACAAGTCCCAGCCCACTGGATCCTATCCGCTTTCCTTTTGAGATAGCAATGAGGAGTACTGCAGGTTAGGACACTTAAATATGAGACAGTTGCTTTCTTACCACAGAGGAGTTGATGTAAGAGTTAGTTTTCCTCCTCTTCTGATGGAGAATGAACCCCATTTGTATTGAGAGATACTCCCATGTGTACATCAACAAGACCTCTAAAAATGCCTTTGAGTAAGTAAGTAACAAAGAAGAAATTGTTCAGGACATGTCTTCCCCAGGTGGTCTGGGTGGTGAATTTTCTGCTTGTAAGGAAAGGGTAGGGATGAAAAACAGGTTTTCACATGGTTGGGAGGATAGGGCTTTGATCTGTACAGTTCTCCTACCCGAGTGCACTTGCCCAGATGATTTTCAAGGCTAAGGGGAAGGCTGAGGTGATGTGGAATTGAGGATGGGGCATTGCAGGTGCCCCAGGTGCCTGGTGTGCTCCTCTTGCTTGTGCTGTAGTGATCAGAATCTTTTCTTTCAGGCAACAGAAAGACTTTGTTGAATTGAGTTTTGCTACCATATCAAGCACAGGTCCAAATGGAGCCATCATTCACTACAAGTAAGAGAAACACAGCTTCTCCTTTCATCCTTCAGCAAATATAGTTGGAATCAGCTGTCTAGCTTCTTTGTGGAGTCACAACAGAGTACTCCAGGGAGATGTAATCACTGTTGATTGCCATCTTGCTTTATTCCACCAGAGCTTCTACACTTACTAAATAAAGATCTCTCCCTGCTGGCAGCATGCATGTATTATGATGCTGATCTGCTCAGGGGCCATAGAAAAGGGCTATTTTGGGGGTAGAGTCTGGGAAGGACAAGCATGAAGTGCAAACTGTTCTGAAATATGTCCAGAAACAGATGTTGAGGGCTTTGCTGGAAGCAACAAAGCTATTCTCTGTACTGTAGTGCTATTTACTGTAGACAAATACGCGCCTCAGTATGATTCCTGGCTCAGCATATGTGGGATTTCCATCACTGCCACAAGAAATCAGAGCTGACACATCCAAGCTTGCACTTAATATGGTTTCTGGACTGCAGATGTGAGCTGGACACCCTAAAATTGTGGAACAAAAAACTTTGTGTTTAACTGAACAGGCCAGTTCCCGAGACCAACAGAACGCTGTCTGTGAATGAGATCTACCTCCTGGACTCAGGCGCACAGTACAAGTGAGTGGGATGAATGGTGCTGAACTGCTGTGTTTTCTGCTCCCAGTGACCACCTGCAGGGTCAGCTCACAGTTGCTATGGCAAGCATGGCAAAGTGTAGTTTTGAGCACAGTGCCATTTCACAGCCAGCCTGCTTGTTGTATCCCCTCTGGAGGGAGTTTGTGGAATTCTGAATATTCAACAGGAGACCCTGAGTTAGGCTCAGGGCAGCAGACTAGGGCTGCTGACAAGCCTCATATGGGGTAGGGGATAGATCTAAAAGTACAGTTCCTGCCTGAGTCCCAATACAGGTGTGATGGTAGCTGTGCTGTAATTGCTGGTGTGTGTTTCTGTCTGTTGCAGCTCTGCTCACCTGGCGCATTAGTGTTAGAGCTGCAGGGAGCAAGGAGCAGGCCTGACTGCCCTGGTTTAGCCTTGGGCTGCCTGCACAGCAGCCTGCACAGCTGAGTGTGGCACCTACCCTGCCAGGATCTGCCCTGTGGGCAGATTTGACTGATGTTGAGGTCAGAACAAGGTGGGGCAAAGGAGCAGGACAGCACTGCCCTGTGGTGGTCTCTGCCTTTCCAGAGAGAGACTCAGAGGCGGGGTTTCTCATCCTAGTGGCCACTTGAGTCTCAGGTGTTTTTTTGGGAAGGCGTCATGTCTGTTGACTCACTCAGTGCTGTTTTGACAGCGCCATTTAGTGGCCTCAGTCTCTGCAGCTGTTTACTGTGGAACTCTGACTCCATGGAAAAGGAAAGAAGTAATGTTTTTAACTAACGTAAATAAATGAGAAGTGGCTTTTTCAGAAAGATGCAGGACAGGCCTGGCTGCTTCTTTGAGATGAGCTTTGTCTTTAGAGCTATGCCTTTTTGTTACGTCAGTCAGGAAGAGCTTTGAAAAAGAACCATACAGACATCCTTTGATAAGATTTTTACAAGGAGATCTTTTTTTCCTCCCCTCTGATGGCCTAATTAATGATTTCCTTAGTGCAACTATGAAAAGCAGCCCTTTGAATACAATATAAGCTGGACATCAGTGGCACCACAGCATTGTGACAGGGATGCTCCGCTTGTCCCTGCTGAGAAGTTAAACCGTGAGTTCTTTGTGACCATGGCCTGTGTGTGCTGGGGAAAAGTGTAGGCACAGGAGTGAGCATTTCAAAGGGAACTCATTATTTCAAGAGCCTCTGTGTTTTTGACAGCAGGCTCAAAATGATATTTGTAGAAGGAATTTAGAGCCAGTTTCTGATGTCTCAGACTAACCCCTATCCAAATGCTGGGTAACTTCGAGAAATTGTAGCACAAGACATCCTGAGGATGAAAGAGACACTATACCCCCTTACACTTCCCTTTTCTGAGCTGGTAGCTGTCATTTGTGCATAAGTATATATTTTTAAGCTGCTAATGAATCATCTTCTATACAAATAGAGTGAATTTGGCCATCTGTTCTGTTCTCGGTGGGCAGGTACCAGTTGCTAAACCTCCAATTAGCATAATTTTTATGAGTAGTTTACATTCTAATTTGCGAAGAGCTTTGGGATGCTTATGGGTGAAAGATAACATTTTGATTTGTAAATCATTGCTACATCTGGGGCATGTGTGTTCAGGAATTTTTCAGATTAGGAAGTGTTACATCATCAGTCTCGTGTAGCACAGAGCAGATGACTTTTCCCAGTTATGAGTGTGGTTGGTTTGCTGCAGTGTGAATGGGTTTTCTGTGCATTCTCACTTTCATCTTTCTTTTTCTCTCATCCCTTTGCTTCCTGAATCTTTGTTTGCCTCTGAAGAGATGGTACAACAGATGTGACCAGGACAATGCATTTTGGCACACCGTCAGCCTATGAAAAGGTAAGTTGGCATCTTAATGTGATTTTCCATTTGACCCTTATTATTTAGGGATACTTAAACAAATTCGTTATGTGCCCTACTGCTATATAGTCAAAGTGCTCTATCAAGTATCATTTATTTAATAATACGTGATAGCATTTTGATAAAGACTGAAAAGGAGTCTGTCAGACTTCAGACTTCCAAAATACAAACTAAGTGATTTAGAGAATAACACCTTTCTATCTTAAAATGCACACCTCTCATCTGCAAAGTGGTATGTCTCCTCTAAGAAATAATGAAATCAGAGGGCTGAGGATAAACATTACTGGCTTGTCCGACATGGGAGTTAGCGGGGTTTCATTTAGTGCAAAGCCCAGTATCTAATGCAAGGCTGCAGTAGTGGTTTGTGGCTAGTGTACCACATCAAAAACCAGTCTCAGACTTGCCTGAGAAGGTCCATGTTGGAAATTCAGCAATGTAATTTTGTTTATTTTAAATTACTTCTTTAATTAAAACTAATTTCATCATTATAGTTCACTTAGTAATGAAAATATGCTGTAGGGTATGCTCAGGAAGTAAAACTACAGCCACAATGAAAATCAGTCATGTAGGTCAGGTGAATCCTGCTTCTAAACCTGTGGTCTGGGTTTGTGACACACGCTCCATAATTAGCAGAGAAGGATCTTCAGAGTAATTTAAACTCTTTCTGCTCATGGTTTGCTTTGGCATTGCCAGCCATAGGAGAGCATGAGCAAGTCTTTCCAGATCCTCTGCAATGTGCTACAAGGTGCAGTCTTTCTTTCCATTCTTGAGGAAGACAAAATTTTGCCTCTCCCTGTTTACTTATGGCACACATTTCTTTGACAGGAATGCTTCACCTATGTCCTGAAAGGACATATAGCTGTGAGTGCAGCCATTTTCCCAAATGGAACCAAAGGTAGGTTGGTAAGTTGGAGTGTTTTGACCACAGCAGTGACCTCTGAAGAACCATGAAGTGGTCTGAGGGCGACATTATGGTTGACAGGTCCAGATGTGTTAGACAGATAATTGATGTAACTGGCTGTGTCTGTTTCTATCACAACATTTTGGATTCTGGATTAGTGATGACTTCTCTCTCAGCATCAACTAGTTCTAAAGATTCTGAGGGGGGCAGTCTGAAAGGGTGTTCAAAGTGCTCTGGATCTAGGGTGATAGTGACTTTTGTCAGTCAATGGTATGCTAACACATCTGTGGCCTTTCTGTGCTTGGAGGTTTTCTTTATGCTTTGCTCATGGCCCTATCAAAGCAAGGGGTCACTTTCCAACTTCAAAAGGTCTGGCTAATTCACTTCCAGTTAATGTAGAATCTCTTTTATCAGTGAGCAGCATGGGAAAATGACACACAAAGGAGCTGTTTTGATTTTGTGCAGGAGAAGCTGTGACATACATTCACCCCTAGTGAATTTGTAGCAGAACTATTTTCGCCCTGATCAGACACCTTACACGAAGATGCCTCTTTTTAGAGTTTTGTCCTTTGCATTCTTGGGTAGGTGAGGAAAAAGCAGCTGCATAGTGGTATGAGAAACCATAACTGAAATTGGAGAGTGTCTGAACTGGACATAAGGGCTTGGTGTTCACATGCAGGCAACAGAAATTATCTGCCTTCTGGTTGAAAAAATCTGAAATGGGTGGCCATCCAGGCAAGAAGCCTGGCTGATTAGTTCAGCAAACAATGGGCAGGATTTCTACTTCGAGTTCACTTAGTGCAGCTACCTTTAAGAAAGGTACTGAGTTCTCTGTGGGACGTTTAACCACTAGATTATTTCCTGAAAACCCTAGTGGAGCAAGGAGCAATGCTATGTTTCTGTTACAGACCATCTTCCGAAGGGCTGTGTATCAGGATGGGGAGGCTCTTTGGATGGGGAAGGGCTTGAATGTCAGACTTGCCAAATCTGCCCTGTTACTTCAAACAATCCAATGACTTGCTTTCTTTGGCTGTTGGTGGTTGTTTTTTTCTGGGGGGTGGTGGTGGTGGGGTTTTTTGTTTGTTTGTTGGGGGTTTGGTTGGTTGCATGTTTTCCAGGTTTGAGCCTTCAGTGTGATTACCAGTGTCTCTGGGGGAGCCTGACTTACCAGATTCTCTCTCCATGTCTTCTCTTTCCCTTGGCCTGCAGGTCACCTTCTAGATTCCTTTGCCCGCTCTGCCTTATGGGATTGTGGTTTGGATTACCTGCATGGGACAGGACATGGAGTTGGCTCTTTCCTAAATGTACATGAGGGTCCTTGTGGCATTAGCTACAAAACCTTTGCAGATGAGCCCTTGGAGGCTGGCATGATCGTCTCTGATGGTATTTAGCATTGGTGATCCTTTCTGGTTACTGGGCGAGGGACCAAGCTTTTTAAGATGTGAGGGAATGAATCTGACAATGGTGTAAAGTAAAGGTGGGATCATAAACTCTGGCCCTGCATCCTTGGTTTGTTATTTTTAAATGTCATTTAAACTCTCTAGGTGAAGACCCTCACTTTAGCTCTTTCATCTTCCATAAAGCATCTTTGCAGTCAGGTGCTGCAGGCCTGCTTCCTGCTCTCTACAGTGCAAACCTCAGCAGAGCTGTGCTTTTGACCAGCCCAGCTCTGGCATGCTGCCTCCCGTTCTGTAGTGGAAGAGGTGGCTACAGTACAAGGTGGACACCAAGCTTTCAGGAGCTAATCCTGTCTTTGGTATGGACTATTTGAGGCAGCTGTTAAATCTTTATATGCCCTATTCTTCCAATAGTAAATTAACAGCCTGCTGGGGTTTGCTGAGAGAGTTACATTCCTTCAGGGCTGCAAAGTCCTCTTGACGAGTCAGGGGAGCACTGTCTAAAATAAGTGTTTTAGGGAAAAGGTTACGGACCTGCCTTTCATAAAGACATTAATATTTTCAGAGTTTTTGGTATTTGGAACACATGTACTCTATGCTCTCTCTTGACTTGCAAGGTGACTGTCTGAGCTCAAGAGCTGTCTGTCTTGTTTCTCCTCTCTTTGAGAACTTTTGCTGTCACCTTGCTCGGGGCTTCTGTGCAGATTAAGTACAGTCAGAAATTTGTTTGCCTCTATGGATGTCTGATGTCAAGATTGCTTAGTGACTTCAGTGGAGTAAAGCCATGGAGGGGAAGTTTGGCCATAGGGAATAAGTATTTGCACAGTCTAGCTATGTGGCTTAGTTAATTACTGTCTGTTTCTACAGAGCCTGGGTATTATGAAGATGGGTCCTTTGGGGTCCGAATAGAAAATGTTGTCCTTGTGATCCCTGCTGAAACCAAGGTGAATGACCTGCTCAGGATGCACCTTCTCCATGACTCACTGGTTGTAAAACTTCGAGTACTGTAACTTGAGGTGGGACCATGCTGCAGACAGCTGAATCCTACTCAAGACTCCTGGTCTCCAAAACCCTGCTTTGGTGAAGACTGATTCTCAGTCTTCCTTGCTAATGGGGGCACAGAAGACAGTTCTGCTTCTGCAGAGTTTCTGTAGGTAGAAATGTGTATGTGAGAGTTGTTTTAAAATGTTTTCTGTCTGGGTGTCAAAGACCAGAAGCATCTTTATTCAGCCCCTTGGAGCCATTGATGTAGAGTTGGTTGATCTTCTCAAGTCAGGATTTTCTTCTCTGATAGTCTTCAGGGGCAGTAGAAACAAAACTACAGACACGTTTTGGTATTATAATTGACAGTCTGGCTGGGTTATGCTTTTAGAAATGGCAAACTGAAAATGACCATATAGTCATCAAGCCGAGTCCTGTACAATTGTGACCTGGGACATGGCCTTTAAAAAGCGACCATTGAAAGAAATAACTAAGGTTTATATTGAGATTCTTTGCTTAAGCTATAAGAAAAATGTTATTGTAAGTTGCTGCCCTCTCATCCGAATGTTACATGGGTTGTTCTGTAGCAATGACATGAACCAAGGAGTAAGTGTGATTTGGCTAGAGAGGTTTCTAAAAATTTACAACCCCGTTTGTCTTTCTGCTGCAGTACAATTTCAAAAACAGAGGGAGCCTGACTTTTGAACCCTTAACGCTGGTTCCTATCCAGATGAAAATGATTGATGTTAATTTGCTGACACAAAAAGAGGTAAGTGAAACAGTAGGTTTGCATTGCCTTCTTTGTAATAGAACCAGCTTATTCTGTTTTTTTTACAAGAACCACTGGCCTCTGTTCCATTTCATAGATCCAGAGAGCAATCTTGAGCAGTTTGACTTAATTTTAAACTTGATCCAGCTTTGAATGGGAGGGTGGGCTAGATGAGCTCTCCAGAGGTACTTCCAATCTAAATTATTCCGTGATGAAGGCAGCGAGGACCACTCCAATGATGTTTTGGTAGTTCCCTTGATATGATATTTGCCGCTATCTTCTATTCTCTTTTCCTGCTCCTGCCTTAATTTGCTTCTGTCAGACTATTATGCTGTCTCCTCAGAGACTTATGCTAATGACTGTCCCATGTTGTTGTCTCTATCTACTCGTGACCAGTCCCATTCAGCCACACCACATTCTGCAGTGCATACGGACTGTGAGCAGACATCATTGATACCTGCTCAGCAGCATTTATTTCTTGAATAGCTTCATACTTGAAACTTTCTGTTTAGATCTTCCACTACCTTCACGGTGACATGTTTTATCCTGTTTTTCTACTATGCTCTTTGTCTTGACTCAACCCACCCTTCTTTTCTGAATGATAATCCTATTTGCATTTCCTTTTTCTGAAGAGGACTATGAAGAGTACCAAGACCTGCTGTAAGCTTACCTGTTCAGATCACTAGGGCAACTTGGGTCTCAGGACTGCATTGTTCAGTTACAAATTTGCAAAGCTATTTGCTAGACTGTGCCAAGGCAGCTATTCTGACTTGCTGGAGACAGTGATTTGCAGAGACTTTAAATACTTGTCAGCTGAACTGAACCTTGGCTCCTCTGAAAATGTGGGACGAATTGCTTCAGTTCCTACCCTCATCAAATTTACAAACCACTTCCATATATTAGAGGTCTGTCTCTTTGGGATAGGATCCCATCCCAGCCTAACAGCTCAGTCCCAAAGAGCACAACGGCCTACAAATGTCTTTGGCTGTGTATAACTTGTAAGGCCACCAGCTCTTCTGTGTTTATGCTGAATGTCCTACCCCTCCCTTTCTCTAGTGTAACTGGGTGAACGACTACCATCAGAAGTGCAGGGAAGTAATTGGAGCAGAACTGGAGAGGCAAGGCCGGCATGAAGCTCTTCGGTGGCTTATCCGGGAGACGGAGCCTCTCATCAGAGTTCAGTAGCACCACAGTTGTCTGCGGTGTGCAGAACATCAGGACCACTTGGTGTCACGATAATCTATGTCTTCTCGGCCCTTGACACTGCTGGGAGAACGTTCTTCAATAAACCCTTGGAAATCAGGAGCGGGATTTCATGTAGTGTTTCTCTCCCCCCACCATGTGTGGGTAATGTGGGGGTAAGGACGGTTACTGTCTGAACAGTTTTTTGGGCAGGGGGAGGGGTTGAGAATAGCAAGCAAACAAAATAAATAAGCATGTTGCCTTTGAAATAGGGATCTTCTTGAAATAATGGTTCTAAGAGGCAATACTGGAATATTTTATACTGCCTGGTTTTTCACTGTGAAAACTCAGTATTTTTGCATACTTGGGTTCCAGTTGCTAAGATGCTACCCACACAGCAGGACTGATTACTGAATAAAAGTTTCCAACCCGCTGTTTGCTCTGTCTGCCTTCTCTTGCAGTAAGTGATGTGTTGGGTTTGACAGCTTGAAGAAGGGCAAGAACCAGATAATTCCCCCTTTATGTGTGCATCCAGCTGAGACAGTAAAGAAATACGTATAGGACTGCCCTGTGCTAGGCATGGGGCACATGTTATGAGGAGGCCTGACAGGAGCAGTAAGTTCTGCCTGTGCTTTGTGACAGATGGTGGAAGGGATGTGGTGACACTCGGCAGAGGTTTATGTGTTCAGAGCACCCAGGCCAGTACATCTTCTGTCTATTGTTAGCACTTACTGACTACTTGTATAACCCTTGACAGTGCAGGATGCATGGGCAGTATCATGGAATTGCAGCTCTTCCTGGACACAAAGCGATTATTACGTTAAAAAAATGCATACAATGGACAAAAGAAGGCCTCTGTGCAACTTTGGTTCAAAATCAGCCTGGCCTTGGCCTCCAGGAACTGTGCTCTGGATTGCCCGGCAGTGCACAAAGACATCTAGTGTCTAAACCAGCTACTGCAAGTTAAACACAGGTAGGAGAGCTTCCCACCATCCCCCTGGAGAGGGAGTTCTCTGCTCTGTGGTGGTCTGAAAATCGCTGTGTGCAGGTGCATCAAAGCATTGTCCATCATGTTACATGATGGGGTAAGAATATGTATACTAAAAGAAGTAATCATTCTTAGCATTTACACTGAAAGTGTTTTGATCAAACTCAAGTTCAATATTAGATCTAAAAAGAGCAATTGGGTAACAGCAACTCAAATTCCTGTTATTTTAAAGAAATGCTCTCTACAAATGGAAATGTTTGTATACATAATTTGCTTCCCTCCCATCCCTCAAGAAATTCTGAGAGGGAAATATTAATCTCTGTTAAATGGCTTGAAATTAGTATTTCCCTCAAGAGTTCTGGAAATTGGAAGCAGTATCATGTAGCCAAATAGAAAAGGACTAGGAAGAGAAACAAAAGTTGCCTGGCCTCCTAGCTATGTTGTCCAATAAGGGGCTAAAAAACAAGTGCAATTGGTGCTTTAAAAGGTCATTTTCACACCTTGGCCTCTGCAGCTAGGTATATGTATTTATGCATGGAAGCGTTAGCTTTCATTTTAGCTCTGTCTGTGGGAAACCCGGCTCCCAAACACATCAGCCAGTCCACAGCGTCTTGTGAGCATGTGCTATGGGCTGAAACAGACTGGGAAGAACATTTCTTCCAAAGGTGTCCATTGCCTCTATAGGTACTGGCTGTGCCACGGGATCAAAGGACAAGTGGGGGATCTCTGAACAGGTTCTGCTGTGACAAATCGGGGCTTTCCCAGTAAAATCACTGTGCATGCTGTGAGGCTGAGCACTTGGGGAGCTCTGGCCGAACGCCGCAGCCTCACCCGGCTGGGAGACCTGTGAGGCTGGAAGGCAGCTGCTCTGCAGCATGATGGTGGAAGTTCGAGCAGATGACTCCGCTGGTTGGTGTAGACCCAGGGAGGGATGTGCTGCTGACCACAGATGTTCCTGAGAATGGCATCCAGGATGTCCTGGCAAAGACCCAGCCTGGGTAGGTCTCTCCTCAAACTCAGGAGCAAGTGTTTCCCATGGGAAGGCAGAAGAGGAGGATTTCTACCAAAAGGTGAAACACAGCAGCCAAGGAAACTTTTCTCTTCTTGACCCAAAGCCACCGTAGTTGGCTCAGGCACCTCAGTGGGGAGGGGGGACATGACACCGAAAGCAATTTGCTAGATTTGGCCTTATTGGACCTTTTCCCCACCTTGATTCCCTCTTTACAGTCAGAAACCAACCATCCCACCCAGATCTCTTGGCCCTTTCCTGTCCCAGAGTCTCCTCCAGTGCACATGGACAGAGGTGGGGCAATCCAGACTTGTCTTCTCCTCAAGGCACCAGCTCGGGGAACTTCAGCAGATACCTCCTGCCCTTCTCTCCCCAGCTCATCCCTTCATCCACCTCAACCCTAGGGACTTTTGTTGCAGGGAGTCTGCCACTGCGTCTTGATCACAGCTCAGAGATCTTTACCCCTTTCTTGGATTTTGGCACCTCAGCAGAGGGAGATGGGGTGTTTCTACGGGGAGGGGGCTGGCTGACAAGCATTCGTAACTCCAAGGCATTTGTATCTCTCGCTATTCACTCCTTGAAAACAACTACATTTTACGCCCTTTCCTGTCTGAGCTTCAGGGTTCCAATGGAAACTAAACTTGGCTGTTTTTTTTTCCTTCTTCTTCCAGGTTTTGATTTATTTTGTCAGTGCCTGCTTTCCCTGGGTGGTCTTTCCCTTTCCCTCTCCTGGTGGAAGGAAAAAATTAAGGAAGAGAGGAACAAGGAAAAGAATGAATGGAACCCAAGTTTCTGTCAAGTTTGGGTTTTATTTTTGCATGAGTGCCACTCACAGAAATGACCATACAATTATACTGCTCAAGTAAAAAATGGAATTTTATTTGATTTTTTGAAAAAAATTTCCCTAGGGGCTTTTTTATTGTTGTGGGAAGGAAGGGGCATTTTCAATAACAATATGCTTAACGGTCTATTTTCAAGCCATTCAGTTTTGCAGTATTTTTAACCCAGTGGGTGTCTCACAGGTTTAGATGATGCTGCAAAGCACATTTCTGCTCCTTATGCAGCCTCTCTTACGCAGGGTAAGCCCGTCCGGTCCTATCGCTTCATTCAACCCAGGAGCTTGGCGGGTAATTGTACCTCACCACCGCTGCCACCACGGCTTCCGCCCATGGGGCAAGACTTCACCAAATGCAAACCATACCCAAGGTCCCTGTGGCCACCCTGATGTATGTCACCAGAGCACTTCCTTCACTGTCCCCTGCCCAGTTTGGGGGCCAAATGGGCAAATGTTTGGTAACAGTTGTGCTAGAAGTCTCCAGCTATGCTATTGATGTGTTTGGGGGCTATGAAATTCTTTGTTTCCCTTGGAATAAAAATGTTACAGCAGGAGACAGACCCTATCTTTCAGTGAGGAAAATCCACATCGGCTTTACCGTTCAATCACATATCGTGATGTGTGCATTGGCAATGTGCCTGTTGGTGTACAAGGCTTTTGAGGCAAATAATAGACCATTTCTCCTTGAGCAGAAGGATTCATGTTCATTCATCACCAGCAACAAATGCGCTTTCCCTCCATAAGCCAGGTGACTGCTTGGCATCTCCACAGTCACCCCTCCTTCCTCAGTCTGTGGGTATTACCTTAAGTGTGCCTTGCAGCAGTAAAATCCAGTTGTTTTTTAACTTAAATGACTCATAATTCACCTGTAATGGAAATCCCACTACTATGACTATTAAACCCATCACTTTCCACAACAGCAACTGGAACAAGTTGTGATTTACCCCAGCCCAACCTTGGAAAGAAAAAGAAAACTTCTGAGAACATCGTTGCTGAGGACCTTCTCAGCAAACCCACCAAAGCAGCCTGATGTTCAGGCTGCACACAGTGAATTAGTTGCCCAGTAATGGTGAGGGGCTGGGGTGTGTGGTGGGACATGGATGCTTATTCCTGTGGTTCCTTCAGCAGATAGCGACAGTGAGAGCTAGGTGGTTGGACCAGCCAAATATTAAAGCTCTCCTGGGGATGAGGAGATGTCGTCTTCTTTCCGTTGCTGCTTCTTCTCTTTCCTGTCCCGTGGTGCTCTGAGAGGTCTCCTCTGGGTGGTGTGTGGCTGAGGACAGCATGGAGGACACCTGCATTTTGGAATATGCTCATGAGAGGCTAAATGAGGCTCTTCAGTCATTCAGGGAACTGTCTAAAAAAACACCTGCTTGATGGCATCGGATGCCTGGAGAGGACTTGTCTTTGCCCAACACCACCTCCTTTTTGCACTCAGTGATTTGGCTGCTGGTGCTAAGGATTATTACCACTTATTTTTGCTGACTTGTAGCAATGCACACCTCATTCCTAGAGTCCTCCATCTTTTTGGGGAAGAAACTGCAGGCCTGGGCATCTGGCAGAGGTGCCTGGAGATTAGGAGTTAAATAAGTTGCCTGGTGTCACTGCCCTCAGCTTGTTTTACATGATTAGGACAAAACTCCCCATGGCTTTGGATGTAATAAGGAAAAAAGATGAAACAAGAGCCTCTGGAGGGTAGAAATATGAACTGGGTTAGTGCTTAATTAAGTTGCCTATTAACAGTTGTGTAGTGGCCTGGAAGAATTTTAATGTACCAATTAAAGCAAGGAGCTATCTCCTCGGCTTTCCACCACCTCTGGGGATGCTGTCAAGAACAGGGAGCTTGCAGATCAAGTGCTGTTTATTTTGCTCCTTCCAGCATGTTAAAAATCATTCTAAATTTGGGATGTGGCAGATGCCCACGGACATGTTTGCTTCTGCAAGGCAGTGGAGTGATGTCTGTCTGATGAAGATTAGCATGAGAAAGAAATGGGACCGTAATGCCATCTCACCCCATAAAACCCCTCCTGTTCCTTGCAGGTTCTCTGCATTGCTCGGTGAGAAGGAAGGGGTTTGGTGGCTGTAGGGTGGCTCCATGCTGATGGTGGGGTGCGTTGGTTTGGCACATACAGTCTGGGCAGCTGGTGTGGGCTCACAGCCAGTGTTTGGAAGGGACATGCTGAATTACCCTGCCTGTTCACTGGCTGTCCCATCACTGTGTCGCATCACCCCTCAGGAGCTTGCTCGGCTCCACGGGAAGCAGCAGAGATGGGGGGTCCCCCTCCAAACACACCTTGTGCGAGGTGGTCAGAGAGCATTGCTGCCCTGATGACTATGAACCTTCTGAGTTACAGCCAGAAGGTACTTACAGCCATCTGAGAGCCATTTGCTCAAGTTGCTCTTTCTCCCTGGTTGTTTACCCTCCCGAATGTGCTGCTGAGGAGTGGTTGTACCTCCTGCCTCTGGCCAGCCCGAACAAGCTTACCTTGTCCGATCGCTATGCCCGAGCCCCTGCTCATCCTTCTTGCTCCAGGAAGAACTTGTGAGAGGACTCATTAGCAAAACCAGATGGGCTTTAACCATCACATTGCTTGAGAGCTGGCTTTTTCG